TATTAAGTATATATAGACATACATACACACACACACTATATATATATTATGTCTACTGTATACATATACGCTGCATTTGTGATCTTTACTACACCATATGTCATACACAAACTGCACAGTGCTGCAAAAAACATGAACAATCACAGTAAAAATTAGTAGACAAGTATAGAAACTGAATTACTAAGCCTCAAAGTCTGAAATTGCTGTTAGTTTATTTTAATGTCTGGCAAAATAAGCTGAAGGATGCCCGTACCACCAAAAGCAGAAAAGGAAATACTAGACTTCTGTATATAAAATAAATAACAACCAAGTACACAACTCCAAGTCGTGAAGTACTCTCCAGCAACTCAAAATACCAGAGCAGCAGAGATCCTTCCCTCACAAACACTGAGTCTCGGATTCATTATCATAAATGGTGAATCAAACCCCCTAAGATCTCCATTTTGCATGTAAACATCCAAGAAGATAGAGTAATGTCCTTCAGAAGGGATTCACTACACATGTTGTAGGCTACAAGCCTGCATGAAATGCATACACAGATCAACTTTAGTCTGTACTTAAAAGAACTACACACACTTCTGAGCCAGCTACCGGCAACCTAGAGATTGTAATCTGGAAGCACAGAGCTAAATCAAAGGGATAAGTAGGTTTTGCTTGACAAAGAGAAGATGTCAACGTAGTACTCAGTTCATGTCATGTGCTGCCTTTGGCTGGCACATCAAAGCCAGCAAATATGCCTACGTCTGCATGCCAACAGTGAAGGAATTGATATTTTTCTAATTAAGATTATGCTGAATCCCTGAGAGAAAAAAGCATGACAAAACAACTGTTAGTAGTATTAATGGCCTGAGAACAAGGCTATAATTCAGTACATTATTACATTTTGCTCATCAGTCGCCAAACCATTTTTCATTATTTATTATCAATAGACAGATTTTTAATACATTTTGCTCTTTTCCTCCAGCTCTACAGTCTCCCAACCAGTTAACATGATGATAAAAGACAATATGAAAAAAAGACAATTTAACTCCATATGTATGTTATTAACAGAGTCATTAAAGAGAGACAATAGACAAACTTCAAACATTCCTGTTTGAAAATGTGTTCAAGCACCACTGACCTGTACCAGTAACATGTCAGAGAAGAAATGCTTCTTCCATACCAATTGCTTGACAGCATTTCATGTATACTGAATTAGTTTCCTCTGATTATGTGAGTGCTTTTAAAAGCCACAGGAGAGGAAAAGAACACATATCCCAAAAAAAGATTAAACCCATACATTCACAGAAGTTGCCAGAGCCATACTCACGAAGGACCTCTATGCAGCACCCAATTGCTAGCAACAAGTTCCTTCAGCTACAGTAACAACTGAATTAACACCACATTTTTCATTAAAACTTTCAAACACATAAGAAATGCAAAATTCCTCTGGGAAGACAATTACCTTTACCTGAGTCTCCAAAAATTACTCCAAGGCAGTGCTTCCATATGGATGCTGCAGAAAAAGCACCATCTGTACACTCAACAACAGTATCTCCTGCACTGCACAGATTTTCTTGGAAGTTTTCATAAACAGACATGGACTCAGCTTGGGCTGGGTTAACTATACTAATAAAAATTTACATTTGTTTAAAGAGGTTTACCTCTAGGAGCCATGGCTTTAGTTTTCTGTCCAGCAGAATATCAAATCCCAGGACTTCAAAGCAGACACTGTCACTTCCTGGTCCTTGCCCTGGTCTGCACATGCGATAAGCATGAAGAACGTGTGGCTCTGCAACTATGAGAGTCTTCACTACCAACTCCTGTGGGGATTTTTTTCAGAAGAATTCATCAGGAGAGAACACACCAGTGTATACTGAACTAATCTGTTTCATGCTTTAATCCTATAAATTTCATTAAAGTATCTACTTCAAAAAATATATTTAAAATACCTAATTAATGCTCTATAATAAATAAACTGTTCTTCTGGAGTAACATATTTTTAATATAACTAAAGAGCATATTCTTATTTTTTAATAACTCTACAGTGTATTGTTATACCTCCCACAGTACATACATACTTTTAGATATTTAAAACTTAAATACTAAAGGAATATTTAGAACAAGACATAGTACAGCCAGTTCTCACCTATTTTATTTTACAATATTATTTCCAATAAATATTCTCATAACCATATGTACAAACAATGCCTAAGCTCTTAGGCCTGTTCCTCACCTAAAGATGCCTGTGACATAACCACTAAGTGTCCCAGGTTTGAGGACACAGATATGTGTAACACTGACTACGCTTCTCTAAACATTCACACATAAAATTCATTTTATACTCTACAAAAATCTCCAAAAGTGTAAGTGGGATGGCTCCTTTGTATCATCTTACTTATAAGAATAACTGTTCAAAAGGACTTTTGTTCTTTGAAATTTAACACTAAACTTACAATTAAATTCTGAATTTAGTCTTTTAAAAAACATCATGTATAGTATTTCCTTTGTGGCATGAATTGCAGAGAATCTGGATTACTAAAGATTCAAAAATCACTCTGGATTCCAGTAAAGTGAATGGTAGAAGCAATTCATTTTCTAAGAATATGCATACAAAAATAAAGAAAAGCATACTAGTTTTATCTTACTGAAATATCACTCCAGAATTTGGAGACATCAAGATTATTTGTTTCTAGAAACTCAGTAAACCACTTTATGGAACGTTTGCTTCCTTTGTCTTCTGTTTCATCCCGTTCAAAGTGCTCATTATGTTTATTGACAGAGTAGTTAGTCAGATGCATGTACAATTGACTCTAAAAAAAAAAAGGGGGGGGGAGAAAAAAACATTAAAAAAACTTTAAATACATCTGTAGAATAGTCAATTCAAAATAATTTTTTAAGCCCATAGTCACATTTAGACCAGTTGCAGTCAACTGATCTACTAATCAGCATCTGGTTAGGCAATATAACATATCAGCTATTTTTACATGTCCGTATGTGAACAACCAAAAAAAAAATTGAAGAGTAATTATCATAACTTAAGAGAATTACTACATTCCACAAGAAACAAACAATAAAAACATTATTTTGAAGTGTTACCTTAAAATAATGGAATCATAGAATCATCAAGGTTGGAAAAGACCAAGATCATCAAGTCCAACTGTCACACCTACACCTCCATGACCACTAAACCATCTCCCAAAGCACCACGTCTACCCATTTTTTGAACACCTCAAGAGATGGTGCCTCCACCACCTCCCTGTGCAGCCTGTTTCTGTTCCAACGCCTCACAACTCTTTCTGTGAACAAATTTTTTCTAACATCCAATCTGAACCTCCCCTGACGCAGCTTGACTCCTTTTCCTCTGGTCCTATCGCTGGTCACTAGGGAGAAGAACCCAACACTCACCTCACTACAACCTCAGGTAGTTGTAGAGCAATGAGGTCTCCCCTCAGCCTCCTCTTCTCCAGGCTGAACAGCCCCAGCTCCTTCAGCTTCTCATATGACCTGTTCTTCAGGCCCTTAATCAGTCTGGTTGCCCCTCTCTGAACCCTCTCCAGCACCTCAATGACCTTCCTACACTGTGATGCCCAAAACTGCACACAGTCAATGTGAAGTGCTACTCTGGCATCTGCTTCACAGACAATCCCACATTTCAGTTTTCACTGTAGTATGAGAAGTGTTCTCATGATAGTGATACTTCAAATAGTTTTTTTACATATAAACTCGTCTGCCAAGTTGATAACTTCTGAAATTGCTCATTTTTGACTGGCTGGTAGCCATACATCAGAGGGAAATAATTTTCAATATATGTATTACATAAATGAGCAAGTGCTATAGTTTGTTTTTTGGAGCAAAATGTCACCAGCAAGAGATTCATGTAATCAGTTGCATTTAAAAAAAAAATTACCCTGTCAAGGCCAACTTCTAAATCATGATTTATATGTTTACATTAACTTCCAGTATAGATACCAATTCAGCTTTCTACCTCCACCACCCTGATAACTGTCCTCATCACAATGATAGTTCTGTCAGGTATGACTCCTTACTTGAGTGTAGTTTAAGTTCTAAGCTGACCATAAGTCTTCTGTTCCAATTCCTTTTGATAAAATAGCCAATAGGTAATACAAGCCTACTGCTGTCATTTATCTCACTGTACTTAGGTTAAAAAAAACCAACTTAATTAAATTAACAAAACAAATCAACTTGCAGGCTACTTCCCTTTTATTTTGTTCTCTTCAATGACAATACAAAAATTCAGCCAGATTAATTCTAAATTACATCTCATGACAATTAGTTTATTTTCCCTCCTCCTAACACTACATGGGTGAAAATCTACATGCATAAGCAATAAATTGGAGCAAACTCCAACTTACCAAATTTGAGTCACTGGGGGGATGATACTTTTCTGTGCCCATTCTCACAAGTCCATCATGATATAAAAACACTTTCAATGGATCACAGGAGGTTACAAGAATATACACACGTAAATCAAACTTGTAGCCTTCCATAAGAAATGGTTTGTCAAGATACTCCTGAACAATCAAGTGATCCTGAGCTTGTAACTTTTCTCCATTTCTTATTAAAGAGATTCTGGTTAAAAAAAAAAAGTTATTTTAACAACGTGAAACTCCAACATTACTCTTCAAAATAGATTTTCATGGTCACCCAGCCAGTTAGTCAGTCTGAAACCTACTTGGAGAAAGACTCGTGCACCTGATTTTCAGGGTAGAGAAAAAGTTCCATTCACTCATATAACTTTCAGTTTCCTGTCACAGAATCACAGAATTGCTGAAGTTGGAAGGGACCTCTAGAGATCATCTAGTCCAACTCTCTCAGCTAAGTAGGATAACCTAGAGCACTTTACAAAGGACTGTATCCAGGCAGGTTTTGAATAGCTCCAGGGAAGGAGACTCCACTACGTCCCTGGGCAGCCTGTTCCAGTGCTTTGCCACCCTCACTGTAAAGAAGTTTTTCCTCATATTTAAATGGAACTTCCTATGTTCCAACTTGTAGCCGTTGTACTTGTCCTTTACAGTGCTCCATTGGATGCAAAAAGGCAATGAGCCATTTCAAAATAATTTTCTGCTTCCTTTGATTCAATAATTTGTAATAATGGATTCTCTCTACACTTAGAAATTGTTTGGCAGAATGACCAGTCTCCAACTTCTGTGATTATTTTTCCCCACACAGCTCTAAAAATAGGCTTCTAGTCTGTCTTTGTCACAATTTCTGTCCGAGGTACAAGTTGCAAAGAATTTCAGTGCCAACATGACCTGACTTGGTGATGATGTTTGCAAGGCGGGGCACTGAGAGGTACATACAACTAAGCATAGCACAGAGGAAGTTCAGTATTTCTGTATTCCTGTTTCCCCACATCAGAATGAAAAATGGTTTACATCCAGACTATAAACTGGCAGTCCCCAACTACTTTTAAATGGCTGTAATAGCTAGTATTTTTGAAGGTATAATTATTAACATTGAATTCCCATACCTTTGTTGCTTTAATCTTATTCACTGTTATTTATGATGTATTTCAGTGTTCTGGTGCTGAATACTCCTAATATAATGAAGTACTTTCCAGGCATTTCTCTGAAACATGCTGCTACCTTTCCCTTCAGTTTGGATTTTGCCTCTAATGGGTAAGAAGATTGAAGTTAACATGCAACTTACCCATGTCCCATGGCACCATTAGCTGGCTTGACTATGAAAGTTTTCTGTCTACGTTTCTTCTTCAGTTCTTTTACATAGTTCTGAAACTGTGTGTACTCTGCAGGGAAGATCCATGTTCGAGGAATGAAACTATACTCCTGTGGCTGACTCTTGATCATTCTGCAAAAAAGTATAATTGAGTTAAAAGTCTTTAAATTACTTTGATGTATCAGTCCTCAGGATTAAAAAACATTTATAATAATTTGACAAGGAAATTTTTTAGTAAAAAAATGCTGAAATATGAAAGCAAACTTCTGCAGCTGTTTAAGAATAGCTAGAGCTCTATAACATATGCATATCTTAAGAACAACAAAAGCATATTATCTTCTGCATTTTTGCTTATTATTGTATTGCATTTGCTTATTATGCTATTGACATCTCATTTTTTGGCATCCATCTCACTCCTGTTAGATCTTCAGTTACTCAGATGATGTAATGCTATTCCTAGTCTTAGCATTAAACTTACAACAGAGCATGTTATTATAGATATTTTCCTACCTAATAAGACTCCCAGATTTCTGTATTTCTTCCCCAGCCCCGCCCCCCACCGCCCCCTTATGAGGGGTGGGCATATTTGGCAAATTTCATGTTGGTTTATATTTGGGGATGTATGAGGATCAACACATGCAGAAAAAGGACCTAGGATATTTGGAGTTTCTTCATAGGTGCAAAAAATATTAATAATACAGACCAGAGGTCCCTTTCAACCCCTGACATTCTGTGATTCTGTGTGTGACTGAATTTAGAATTTAAATGAAAGTAATTTAAGAAGAGGGTTTCTTTTTCTTTTTAGTCTTTTGAAGGCATTTTAAAAGTGCTCATGCACCTCCAGTACAGGGGAAAACACAGAGCTTGGATCATGTTTGGTACTAGCATGTTGTAAGCACTTTATTTAGTCAAAAGAAAGCAAAGAAATAGAGAGTAAGATAAGGGGAAAAATAGAAGCACTAAACCAAAAAGATGGTTAAGACATCATAGGGAACAATCTCCAAAACGGAATCTGGCTAAAGGGTGCAGCAAGGTCCTGATCTCCTTGCTTTAATAGCTGAGGTAGTGAGCATATACTTGACAGCTCTGTTGTCTGAATGCAGAAAAGACAAACAGAAGAAAAATAGTAGATAATTCAGTTAATAGATGTTTCCACCACCAAAAGCTGTGCATCTGGCAGACAGGAAGCATATACTCACACCAGATGCAGTATGGGGTAGCACCCATGGGTTAGCTTTGAACAAAGTATCTTCAATACTGGTTAACAGTCAAGTTGTCAAAGCAACACGGACTTGTTGGTACTATGGAGAGTAGTATACCATAGTTCTCAGCAGAATAAATTTAATCTTTGCTGAGTGAAATACTGGTACAGCTAGCTTGTTTCAGGTACTCAGAATACTTGAAACTTCACAGATACCCTCACACAAAATTAGTTCAAGTAACTCAAAACTACTCTGCAACATAGGGTGGACACATCTAAATATCCACAGACAACAGAAAGGGGATGGTTGTTTAAAAAGAGATTAACTGACATAGGAAATTCCCCAACTTTTAAGAAAAATTGAATTATTATGAATTTTAATACTTTTTCATTAATTACAGGTTTAGCTACACTTCTCCTTTTGTAATGGAAACTAGTAATCTCAGGATAACTTCAATATGAAAGAGACTTACAAAACCATCTCAGTTTTTCTTTTCTACTATGAGCCTACATAATTCTCCTGATGCAGCATAAGACACTTTTCCTTTAAGTTGCTCAAATAATAATGGGAAAAAAAAAAAAAAAAACAGCAAAAAAGCTGCCAACAACATCCGTAAGGCTAGGACCAGAGCCAATGCCTGCGGGTATAACAGATACACTGTCACCAAATTGTTTAGCCAACTACCCAACAAACACTCTTCAGAAACCACAATAGCTACAAGTCTTTAAGTACTAGATGAGGTTCATTGCTTCTGTAGCTTCATTATAACTATTATTTTTACAAATCTAGTTTTATTAAAGTCAGCAAGTATTCACAAAAGTTTTTTTTTTAAACATAAGTAGATATTACAAATAATTATTTATGCATATTTTTAAACTACTCTCCATCTGCTATATATTTACCAATATGATTACCTTGCTAATTGAATTATCTAGGCCAAAATTATTCTATTTTTAGGCAAAAAGCAATTTCTGTGCTAGTTTCCAAGTTACTAATCACACATATCCTGAAGTGTTATATGATACAGACTCACCATTTCACTTACTCAAAGGCTTCAATACACATACTCCCTACTCAATGAATATAAGCTTCATAGTATTCTAGATACATTCATATTCTCTTGTGACAAGTATACCAATTCTACCTGTGTTTTTCTATCTTATCCATAACTGGATAGACTACAAACACTTAACATGAAGCAGAACACTTAACCATTGCTTACAAGTTCTGGTGCTTACTAAAACGTTCAAGAAATAATTAATCTCTGTTCTTTCCCTCCTTGGTCTATTCAGAAATGGCTTAGGAACATCATCTTGCAGAATCAAGACCTGTTCTATTACAATAGCCCTATTTTCCAGCACATCTGTTATCCACTACTGTGGGTAACCACTTCTTCATTGTGCAGCTCTATTCTTTGGCCTTTGCAGTCCTTATCAGGAGGTCTGAGAATTAAAAGGCAGTTATTGTTCTTCTGAGCCCTATTTTAGCTCACCGATGTGGTCAGATTGTGCTCTTGCTTCTCAGAGTGCTTTTTGTGCAGAAGAATCAAACATGTTCAATAAAATGTGTGTTGCTAAAGACGTGACTTGTTGGTCTAATAATGTAGTTTGCACTGCCCAGGTTTCAAGATGCCCTGATTTTTCAAGTTTGAAAGGAGGCTAGTGGGCAGGTATGGATGAGAATGATGTTTGGTCCATGATCAGTTCACAAACCTTTTAAAGATGAACAACAAAGGTGCAGCAAAACATCTCATACATGACCTGTTCCCTTTCCCATTCATCCTGTACATGTTCTCACCCACTTATCATATTCATTCTCTAACCACACTTAACCTTTACATGAGATCTCATCAGAGAGACCACTTACAGAAATTAAGATCTACTTGGCCCTACAATGGCACCTTTTTTTTTCTTTTCTGAGTTTGAATTATTCCCCTTGAAACCAATGCTTGTGCTTCCTTTTATTCCCAGTTACATTCCTGACTCTATCTGTTCCATTACTCTGTGTCCCTACGCTTTCTGTGCTGGGTTGTCTTCTTACATTATCACCCACACTTCATACTACACTGCTCCCTCCCATGCTTCTGCATGTGAAAACCATATTGTCCTGTGATCCAGAGTGCCAGGATACTGGCTGTATTCTTGAAGTGCAGTTCCTCCTGAATAGCATTTGCCTCAGTCTGGCATATTTGTTCTTTCACTCCATGTGAAAGCTTGCATAACACGGAAGAGTTAGATCAGTATAACAACGAAGGCAGAAGTAAAATAAAAGAGTATACTCTACACCAGTTCTCAGCAGTTCTTCCATGAAATCCCAGTGGTACAAAAGCCACAGCTACTCTGTACAAGTCAGTATCAGGAACAGAAAAGACTGCATGCTGCAGAAATGCAAGAGAACAGAATTTGTGTTTCTGCAGTACCTTGTTCAAATAAATTTTAAGACAGAAGAGTAGCTGTATGGAACAAAATCCTCTACCCTCCAGACAAGAGCCTGCCCAATCATGTATTGCAACTGACTTGTGTTTTCACAAGTAGCCTGATTAAAATAGAGTGATTAAAACCCTGCCATACCTACTGATACTAAGTGACGTCACAACATAGATATGTTTGACTCAAAGTTATAGTATCAGAGAAGTTATTCCTATCTTATCTGTAAAATGTGCAATCTCTGCATTGAGTACCTTTAAACTGTTCCAACCTCAGAATTCAGTAGATTGAGAAAGGTATAATCAGACTGTATTTGAAAACCATGTGAGCATGATAACAAGAGCCTTTTGTCACAGAACCATAGCAACACACAGGGATACCACAGCCTACCAAGCTGACCAATGTTGTTCCTGTTTCCAGGGCCTCTCCAAATAGCTGTTTGTTTCCACATGCTATCACTATGTTTTTACTTAAGAGTTTTAAGTCTGGGAGGAGCAGTGAAAAGGGCTTGTGTTGTGTGTCTTGACACAGGGAGTTCTAGCCCACACATAGGAGATATACACATCATAGCAATGCACATAATATTTGCATCATAATAGTTGCATATATACCACATGTTGTGTGTTATAGTTAAAAAATAGAAAAGGAAATTAAGAGAGAAAGGACATACCATATTAATTATACTAATACATGAAAACAAACTCTGTTTTGGTAACAGGAAATGCAGTGTAGGTAACATTGGGGGCCAAAATATTAACTCTGTTAATAACTCCTCTTTAAACTAATTTAGTTCAGAAAAATCAAAATGTTCACATAGATTTAAATCTAAACTTTTCCCTATTACCAGGCTCTTGAAACATATAGTTTTGGTTTCTTATAGGTCTTACTCACAGAATCTTAGCTAGGGTAATTCCTCAGAACCCAGTTACTCTACTAGGGTAAGGACAATGTATAATTAGCCAAATGAGCCTCTCTGACTTATTTGTCATATAAATAGTAAGACACTTCACATTTTTAAGATTTGATATACAAAAAAATATAATCATTCATTATTTTAAACAAATAATATGCATCCACATACCAGTTATTTTTATCTTTCCTACCAGTACAGGGTACATGTCTGGGTGTATTACGTATTAAGTATATTATAAAACAATGTAAGGCTCTCCTACATTCTGCAATGCAGAGACAGAGAACTCAACCCACATCATTTTCTGAAGTAATTGGAGAGATTCAGCAGCCCACTCCATTGCTACAGATCCAGGACCAAAAGAAAATTTATTAAGGAACTTCGGAAATTATTCTTGGTCCTCTCATAGCCTCTTAGTAAAAATAAACAAAACTTACAAGCAATAATTCAGTATTGTACTACATTAAATACTATGGCTGGAAAACTTCTTAATATTAAAAGCAAGATTACTTAGTCATGTTTCTTGCCAGGAAATCCTTTCTGCAGATCTCTCCCATTCCTGGAAAATGGTTGATTCTCTAAGGAAGAAGGAAAAAAAAGAAAGTTATTTGGTACTTTTTAGCTTTCCTGTCATACGTAATGCAATAATTTATGAGGTTCAACTGCATGCTCAGGCAAGCACAGTTAGTGTTATATACAAATTGTTTAAGATAATAACTTACATTATACATTCTCTTCCATCAACTTGAATGTGAGCATTGATTTAATTGCAGACATGAAAGGAGACTATCATACTATTACTCACAAAGCTACCTAGGAATAAAGAATGCTACCACAAAGCAATAGCAAAGAAGGAATTATTTGTTCACAGAAACTGTGGAGAGAGGCATGCTTGTTAACTTACTGTTTAAAAGTTTACGAGCAACCTATACATTATATTTTGCATCTTTTTTCAGACTCTGATCTTTCACAGACAAAAGCATGAAAGACGTAAATTTAAACACCGGATTCCAAGTATATGAACAAATAATTCTAGAAAAGAGGATAGGACTTTAAAATATGTAGTTGTGTGGCCTTACTGCAGTCTGGTTGGTGGTGCTTTGTGTTGTTGTTTTTTCTCTCCATACAAATGTAACTCACAAAAAAGTGACATGTTACTGAATGCTTGAGAGGGAAGCAGTGACTTAAACATGTTGGAAGTCCTAATTGTTACCATACCTGATAGTTCTGAAGTTCAGCAATCCTTTCTTGCTGCACAGCAGAATCACACCATATAAGATTAGCAGTTTCATCCTCATCGCGTGTCTTCACAAATCCCATTTCTTGTATCACTACACGTACTAAGGAAAAAACACATACTTAAGGAATCTTTTGAATCTCTAAACATTTTAAAAATCCATTAAGATTTTAAATGCTTCCAATATTCAGTCCTTTGTCCCCATCAGACCAGGTACAAGAATGCCTCCTTAGTCAGGGTACAGTAATTTCAAAAGCGAATGCATACATTATTTATATTTATTTATTCATTTATTTAAAGAAAGACTAATTATATGCCAGGCATAACTTAGGTTCAAGGAGAGGAAATATTTCTGAAGTAATCCTAAGCATCAAAATACAAAAAAATAGTAGATTTTATTGAGAAACCTCTGTATGCTAATTAGAGTATTTAACATCAAATTTACACTGTTAATCTTTCATGGCTTTAAGTAAACTTCCCAATACATATGTAATTGATAATTGTAAAGTTTTTCCACAGCCTTCTTGATTTTTGAAGATTTCGTATTTCAGGGCCCTTCCATGAGTTAACACATGGCAAGTAACAGATGCAGAGTGTTCAAAGCTATCAAGAAAATCCTTTCAAAATGTCTCACTGCCAGCTTAATGCGGAGTCCATTAATTCACCCCATTAGTTAGCAATTCACTCACACCAATGGCTATTAGGATGAAAACAAAATATGCAGCTTCCTACCAATTTCATATTTTGTGCCAGCAACATTTGCAGTTATGCGTCCATTCTTCTTCTTCTTTCTGACCTTTCTTTTAATTGTGCTTTGATAGGGTAGTTCTGAACTCAAAGTCAGAGGAGTAGTTCCGTGGTTATCTTTGAAAAATAATATTGTAACAATCAATATGTTTTTATGTCAAATAACATACAAATATTTACTGTATTACAACTTAGAGGTACAAGCCTACTGAATAATTAACAGGCCATATTAAAAATCCAAGACTAGCATACCTCCCTCATTAGGCAAGGATGGCATTATAACCTAGGATAGTGCAGAAGCAGAGTCCAAATTCTGTTCCACGTTCTCAGAAAATTATGGAGCCTTCAAAGCCAAATTATTTGAAGCTCTGGTCATACCATTTCAGTCTCTGGTTGTAGAAAATATTAGTTCTGGAATATAGACATCTGTGCTAAAAAAACAAATAAAATTGAGAGACTTTGTTACAGAAAATCCTTTAAAAAAATAACACCAGAAAACTTAATATGGAAATATTATTTTAAAAACAAGTTAAAACTAATACTTATTATAAAAGATTGATCAAATTATTGTAAATAAAAAAAATTGTTCATTGCAATTCAATTTTGCTGTATTAATTTTCAATATGAGATTATATTACCCCATTTTCTTATTTTTATTTGTGTATGGGAGATTTGAGGCATTAAAATAGGTAATACTGAATTCAATCACTACTGCAAACTTTTGTTTCCACAAAGTTCACTGAATTTATAACATTTTAAATATATATTTTAATTAAAATTTTTAAATCAGACATACTATATCATATAGAACATAATTCACAAAGAAAATCCCCCCAAATTGAACCAAAGCTGGCAGGTCCCTTTCAAGTTTTAGTGTTTTGGATAATATTGACTGAGAAGGTGGCCTCACTGGCCTACTAAAATTAGACCCAGAGATGGGAAAGCAAAGCACTCATCCTCCTTAAAACTACTGTGAAGGAAAAGCAGCGCTGGGCACAATGACTCACTGAATGTTGCATGTTATCTGGTTCTCAAGCTAAGAATACCACCAGAGTACAAGACATGTTGAGTTCCTGGGAACAGTACTGAAGGAGGTCTGTTAGCCAATTAAGGATGTCTATGCACATACACAAATGCCCAGCAGTTTTTCCTGCACTGTACTGGCTAAAAACTTCCAACAAATTTGGAAGAACGTCACGACAACAAATATTTCCCTGTGAGAAATGCCAGCCCTTACTAGTACAGCATGATTTACAAACCATGATATGGTAATGAAACTCACAGAGCTTTCATTCAGCTTATAATCACAGAAGAATATCTGCCCAGAGTTACTATAACACACTGTATTCTTAAGGCAGACCATGAGGCTCCAAACTACACTACGTGGTTGAATTACTGTTTTTCTTTATATAGAAACTACTCCACTCTTTTAAGAAGCATACTCTTTGAGGTTTCAGTAGAAAGCACCAACACTCAAGGTCCATGCCTTTCAACTAGTCAACTTTTTTAGCACACACACGAGTTAATGGTAAAGACTTATGGTCACCTTTAGAGTATTCTAAGGAGCACAAGTAGTGTTTGCCTCCATTCCTCCTGTAAGAATGGGTGGGGAGGTAAATAGGAAGAGCTTACAGGTCAACGAATGGCTAAGAGACTGGTGCCAAAGACAAGGTTTTGGTTTTTTTGATCATGGGCTGCCTTATGAGACACCTGGCCTGATGGTGGCAGGTGGGATGCACCTGTCCCAAAGGGGGAAGAGACTTTTGGGGCAGGACTTAGCAGGGCTCACTGAGAGAGCTTTAAACTAGATGTGAAGGGGGAAGGGGAGAAAACTGGGTCTGTTAGGGACAAGCCCAAGAGGAACATACCAGGGCCTGAAGGCAGGTGGTATAAGGAGGATTTGGTCCCACCAGTGTGCTCTGTTTGCTTCCTGAAATGCCTGTATGCTAATGCACGCAGCATGGGGAATAAGCAGGAAAAGTTAGAGGTCTGTGTGCAGGCTAAGGGTTGTGATCTGGTAGCAATAACAGAGACATGGTGGGACAGGTCACATGACTGGAATGTGGCCATGGATGGTTATGTGCTTTTTAGGAAAGATAGGGCGGGGAAGCGAGGTGGTGGAGTTGCTCTTTATGTGAGAGAGCAACTAGAATGTATTGAGTTTTGTGCAGGGGCTGATGAGGGGCAAGTTGAAAGTCTGTGGGTAAGAATTAAGGGGCAGGCTGGCGTGGGTGATACAGTTGTGGGGGTCTACTACAGACCTCCTGATCAAGGTGAGGAGGTTGATGAGGCTTTCTACAGGCAGCTGAAAGCAGCCTCACAACTACAGTCCTTAGTCCTCATGGGAGATTTTAAACACCGATATCTGCTGGAAGACTCACACAGCCAGCCTTTCACAGTCTAGGAGGTTCCTCCAGTGCATTGATGATAACTTCTTAATGCAAATGGTGGACAAGCCGACTAGAAGAGGAGCGCTGCTGGATCTTGTACTAACCAGCAAGGAGGGCCTTGTTGAAGCAGTGGTGGTCAATGGCAGCCTTGGCTGCAGTGATCACGAGATGGTGGAGTTCAGGATCCTGTGTGGAAGGAACAGAATACCCAGTAGGACCAGAACCCTGGACTTCCACAGGGCAAACTTTGGCCTCCTCAATCAACTGTTAAGGGAAATCCCATGGGACAGGGTGCTAGAAGATAAAGGAGCTCAAGATAGCTGGTCAACATTCAAGGACCACTTCTTGCAAGCACAGGATCAGAGCGTCCCAATGGTTAGGAAATCTAGTAAGGGTGCTAGGAGACCTGCATGGTTAAAGAAGGAACTACTGGGCAAACTTAAGTGGAAAAGGAAAATCTACAGATCATGGAAGGAGGGGCTGGTCACGTGGGAGGAATATAGGACTGTTGTCAGAGGATGTAGGGAGGCAATTAGGAAAGCTAAGGCCTCCTTGGAACTTAACCTTGCAAGTCAGGTTAAGGATAATAGAAAGGGCTTTTTCAAATACATAGCTAGCAAAACTAGCAGTAGAGGCAATATTGGCCCATTGAGGAATGAGGTGGGAGCCCTGGTGACAGAGGATATAAAGAAGGCAGAGGTGCTGAATGCCTTCTTTGCCTCTGTCTTCACTCCTGCAGGGTCTCCCTATGAGCCCCAGATTCATATAGCCCCAGAAGAAGTCAAGATAGAGGAAGAGTTTGACATGGTAGATGAGGATTGGGTTAGGGATCAGTTGAGTAATCTGGACATCCATAAATCAATGGGTCCAGATGGAATGCACCCAAGGGTGCTGAGGGAGCTGGCGGAGGTCATTGCTAGGCCACTCTCCATCATCTTCAGTAAGTCATGGGCAACAGGTGAGGTGCCTGAGGACTGGAGGATAGCAAATGTCACTCCAGTCTACAAGAAGGGCAAGAAGGAGGACCCGGGTAACTATAGACCGGTCAGCCTCACCTCCATCCCTGGAAAGGTGATGGAACAACTTGTTCTTGTCACTATCTCCAGGCACATCAAGGACATGGGGGTCATCAAGAGCAGTCAACATGGTTTTATCAAGGGTAAATCATGTTTGACTAACCTCATAGCCTTCTATGAGGAAATTACTAGGTGGATAGATGATGGTAGAGCGGTAGATGTGGTTTATCTTGATTTCAGTAAAGCATTTGACACCGTCTCCCACAGCATCCTTGTAGAAAAGTTGATCAGGTATGGGTTTGGTGACCAGGAAGTGAGGTGGATTAGGAACTGGTTGAAAGGAAGGAGTCAGAGAGTTGTAGTCAATGGGGCAGAATCTGGTTGGAGGTGTGTGACTAGTGGAGTCCCACAGGGGTCGGTACTGGGACCGGTGTTGTTCAACATCTTCATCAACGACCTGGATGAGGGTATAGAATGTACCCTCAGCAAGTTTGCTGATGACACTAAGCTGGGAGGAGTGGCTGACACACCAGAAGGCTGTGCTGCCATTCAGAGAGACTTAGATAGGTTGGAGAGTTGGGCGGGGAGAAACATGATGAAATTCAACAAGGGGAAGTGCAGAGTTTTACATTTGGGGAAGAACAACACCATGTCCCAGTACAGGTTGGGGGCTGAACTGCTGGAGAGTAGTGTAGGTGAAAGAGACCTGGGGGTCCTGGTAGACAGGAGGATGACCATGAGCCAGCAATGTGCCCTTGTGGCCAAGAAGGCCAATGGCATCCTGGGGTGCATTAGAAAGGGTGTGGTTAGTAGGTCAAGAGAGGTTCTCCTCCCCCTCTATTCTGCATTGGTGAGGCCACATCTGGAGTATTGTGTCCAGTTCTGGGCCCCTCAGTTCAAAAAGGACAGGGAACTGCTCGAAAGAGTCCAGCGCAGAGCTACGAAGATGATTAGGGGAGTGGAACATCTCCCTTATGAGGAAAGGCTGAGGGAGCTGGGTCTCTTTAGCTTGGAGAAAAGGAGACTGAGGGGTGACCTCATCAATGTTTACAAATATGTAAGGGGTGAGTGTCAGGGGGACGGAGTTAGGCTTTTCTCAGTGATGACCAGTGATAGGACAAGGGGTAATGGGTGTAAATTGGAGCATAGGAGGTTCAAGGTGAATATCCGACTGTGAGAGTGACAGAGCCCTGGAACAGGCTGCCCAGGGAGGTTGTGGAGTCTCCTTCATTGGAGACATTCAAAACCCACCTGGATGCATTCCCATGTGATGTACTCTAGGTGACCCTGCTCTGGCAGGGGGGTTGGACTAGATGATCTTTCGATGTCTCTTCCAACCCCTAGGATTCTGTGATTCTATGATAATTAGTAGTTTGGCCATGCGGAAAAAAAGAAAGTAATTGGACTAACTTACACAAAACCTCTACAAACTAGTCACTGAAGTAACTCTTTTCTTTACAACATTATGGATGACATAATTTTCACCATCACAGATGAAGAATGCACTCCTTTAATGATGTCAGATCTTGTTACAGACACATGCAGCCTGTTTGTCAGATCCTGATTTAAACTGAGCTCTTCAAAGACAAAAGGGATTGTTACTGCACTCTGTATTCAAACTTAACTCTAGAATTTAAACTTCTCACAAGCACTGTCCCTTGCCAACAAAGTTAAACTGTAATCTGCCTTAAGCTTGTATAGAATAATTAAAAATTGTTTTAAAGTTGTTTCACTGCTCTTAAATGGCCCATATCCAAACAACCATCTCACTGAACACTGAAATACCAGCAGTTCTAAATTAGAAAGTTTTCCAGAGTATTTTAGGATACCGTTCTTTCCTTGGTTCCTATTGTTACTATCACCTTTCCAAAGGGCAAACACAGGTCCAAAGAAATTGGACTATTTTTCCCACCATGTCAGGTGCCAGATGAGACGTACAGCACCTCACATGGGGGAACACATGACCCAAAGCACTAGCTGTGTAGTCTAAGCCATGGGAGCAGGTAGA